TCAATGGCTCTGTGTACCCTGGAATTATCACTGTCATTCGTGACATTTTTACAGACCTGCTTCTTGGCAAACTATCTAGGACAATGTGTGTACATGTCAGAAAGGTCCCTGCTCTCTAGTAATCCTCCTTTCTCTTGGTTTTGGCACATTGGACTTCCCGCTGCTCCTTGTTAGACTTCTTAATCTTGATCTCCATGGCTGCGCTCCTTCCAGGTTCTCATCTCACTTCTCACATTTTTTTTAAATATTTAGAAGCGGCCCTATAGATATTTATTTTTAATTGTATTTGTTGTTGAAGTTTGGCAGAGTTGTATTAGTACAGCAGGATGTAGACATCGGGGCACACAAAAAAAGGCAAAGATTTGTGCATTGATAGATCCTTCCTCTCCACCACCATGGAGAGCAGATAACCAAATGTCACCAGCAAGCAAGTCCTCCGATACGCTCAGATTAGGCTCTAACTCCTACTCTTTAGCTGGGGTACCTCGGTGTTGAATACTTCCCAACAGTTGTGGACAAGGAATTCCGCCGGGTTGGTCAGGCACCTCGAAGGTGGGCTATGTCGGTGACACAGACCTTGTAAGCAGAGACGCCTGTACAGAAAGGCTGGCTCCTAGCTCTTTGGACCATGATGGGAGCCATCCTAACGATCCGCTTGCGCTGTGCAGCCTGGGGACAGTTCCCTGGTGTCCCCAGATACAAACAGGACCCCTAAAATAGGACTGTTCCGCCAAGAGCAGGACTTTTGGGAAGCCTGGTGTATGTTTAGGATTCCCTTCTATTTTTATTCAATATTGGCAATCCATTGGTTTTCAGTTCGTTGATGGCACCCAGATCTCTTCCTGTCTTCCCTGATCTCTATCCTTTCTTCCTTCAAGTGACCAGCCATCTCTCCTTTTCCTCTTTATCTGGAAGACTGAGCCTCTCCAAACCATCAACCCTACAATGCAAGTCTTTGGTCTGTGAGGAATGCAACCAGTCTCATGCCTTGATTACTGCATGTGCTTGTTATCCCGTGACCGTCCATTATAAATGCTCCTGCCAAGTTTATCTTTCTACCTGCGCATTTCTCTCTTCTCACATTTGTCCTTCCTTATTACACTGACGTCTTGTCCCTTCTGGGACTAGGATTTATAGCCGCCCTCTCTCCACAAGTGTGCCTTCCAGGAATACTCAAAGCACTATAACAACTACAGCATGTTTTAGAACTGTGTGACTTCTTGCATGCTGTCCGCTCGGTGCTGTTCCCTGCCTCCACTACATCCGCCAGAGAGCTCTACGCAATCAACTAACGTTCTTAGCCAATGAGCTACTAGACCTGTATTTCAGGAGAGCTAATGCAGCGTTCCGGCTCTCTGTAATACTAAGGATTCACGCGCACCTTGCAGCAGCTTGCTTCTTCTGTGTCCGCACCCCAGCTGCCATCTTCAAATATAGGATTTCCCTCAAGTAACCCCATTCTTATGACATGCCCTGATGTCCACTGTCACCAATCCTTTATAAAAAGTTTTTCCAAAAAATCCCATATTCCTATGAGGAATATTTTGTCTTAACGCTTTCAGTGTTCTCCTATTGCATCTCACCTTGGTCTGCCCTAACCCTCCCCCATACATTACTCCCATAGGGCATGTATATACGTAAATACTGTATCTTCTTATGTCTGCTGTCCGTCCAGGTATTTTGCCACTGTGACCTCTTTCGACCCCTTTTGTCACGTTTGTATGAATGTTGTATTTATTGTACAGCGCTGTGGAATATGTTGGCACTGTACAAGTGAAAACAAAGCTGTATTACAAATGATCTTGTTAAAGGAACAATGTTATCGAGATATATAATATTACAATGTTAAACAAAAATCTGCACACCAGTCAAGCCATAAGACTTGCTTTTCCCACAGAAATCCCAAAACTGCAGCGATGTTACAACCGCAAAGGATTCTGGGTAGGCATATGCAAATTAGTTTAACAAAGAATCACATTTTTGCCTCATTCCATTCTTATAGCTTGACTGGTGTGCAGATTTTTGTTTAACATTGTATTAACTATCCACAGACTTCAGGTGGAAGGGGTTTTCAATCACAATTTTTCCCCACCATAACCTGTTTGGATTTTGATCCTGATGAAAGTCCTCTATGTAATAAATAAATAAATAAATAAATATATAATTTTATATATATTTAATGACACCTATTTTGTGGAGAACTATAGTGCCAGGAAAACTTGTTAACCCCTTCTGTCAGTTACCTCGAGTCTGCCTTATCTCCTCCCCCGATGGGGGAGACCTAATGAGCATGCAATAACCGTGCTCGCGTTAGGATTTCCCTGCAGGAATGCATTATTCAATGGGGTTTTAGGTAACGTTAGATGTCCACATGCATAGCGTGAGGACGTCCATCATCAGGCACCAAAAGTCGTCTAGCAGCCTGTAGTCACTCTGGTGGCTGTCTGAAATGTAATTTTTGCAGTTTCTTAAAAACTGCAACAATAACCTTTGCAGGGTTAAGGGACCTGGGACACTGGACCCAGACCACTTTAATGAGCTGAAGTGGTCTGGGTTCCTGTAATGTAATGTACGGTTGAGCAGCAGTTGGTCAGATAACAGTACAGTCTCACATAACATAGCCACATAAAAGTGATATTATATATATATATATATATATATATATATATATATATATATATATATATATAAATTAATTGTTTCATTAAATGTAAGAAACCTAACAATAAAAAAAATTGAAAGTAAACATTTTGACAGCTGTCCTTTAAGCAGTAATAGAGAACCTGGAAATTTTTTAGGGTTAAACCGGATCATTCAGCGACTCTCCTATGGGCAATGGGACTACGGGGGTGGGGTAATAACTGGGCACTAGTGCAGTGGGAAGCCATGGAAACCCTTCACTTTATTTGCAGAGTTCCCATACTTCATACTGTGACGGGAGGAGCACTGATTACAATGCAGGAGAATTCACACACTGCAGAGATGTATTTAAAATGTGCCCTGATTAAAGTGTAAACTTTTTAAGTTTCAATTGTTCACATTTTGTATTTGACTGTGCAACCCCAAGGTATACTTTATTCCTCAATCTCGGTTCCTCTACCAAAGGACTGGGAGTCTCCGGGTTTGCGCAGTATCTTAGCTGTTCCTAGAACTGCACTCTTCTGGACAGCAATCTCAGATGTCCTACACGGAATCCGTTGAAGCCACTCTCCCAAATAGGGGTCACACCCGGGTGCTCCTATCACAACTAGAACTACTACTGCCTTCACTTTCCACATCCTTTCTAGCTCCTCTTTCAGTCCTTGGCATTTCTCCACCTTTTCATGTTTCTTCTTCCTGATGTTATAGTCACTGGGTATTGCCACATCCACCACAACTGCAGTCTTCCGTTCCTTGTCTACCACCACAATGTCGGGTTGGTTGGCCAGCACTTGCTTGTCTGTCTGGATCCGGAAGTCCCACAGGATCTTAGCCCTGTCGTTCTCAACTACTTTGTGGTATCTCCCATCTGGACTTGGGCAGGTCCAATCCATATTCTGTGCAGATGTTTCTTTACACAATCCCAGTAATTTGGTTGTGTCTCTCCGTGTATGCTGTCCCTACTAACGTCTTGTTGGATTGTGTCAGAGGCCTCTTTGCACAATCTACACTTAGGGTCTGGTCTTGTCTGGTAGACGCCGCTTCTATTGATGTGGTGCTGATATACACCAATCATTTAAATGATTTTACTAGTAAGAGTGCACTTTCCCCTAATATCTTTCTCTGCAGTATTGTACGGTTCCTATACACAAAGAGGATATTATTTAATATTATTATTATTTTTCTTCTTTGATTGTATATTGTTTAATATGTTTGTGTTGCACACCAAATCCAGATGCAGGAGTGGCGAAATATAAAGAACAATATACAAGTAGGCTGAGTGTGAACTTGTCTAGGGCTCCAGAAATCCTGGCTCAGACTGTCAATAGTCAGGGCCGTTATCAGTAGAGTAATAAATTCGTGGCGTTACTAGAGTTGGTGTTGGTTTATTTAAAATTTCCTTTTTAATACTTTTTTCATGAAAGGGCTATGATATTAAAACCTAGTCAAGAGGTGACAGTTGTCCTTTTAAAGATCCTATCTCCGCATCGAATGTCCTCCATTTATAAAATGGTGGGGTCTTTCCATTGGTTGAAGAGGTCTACGAAGAACTGAAAATGGTGTAATCCATGCCTGTTCCTTAACACGTTTGGGCTTTAATGTCTCAGGGTGCACTGATGTCTGTGGTTTTGGTGTGATCAGGGTTAAATCAATTAATACCGGGGACACCTCTCTGTCGCTGGAGCCATTTTTAGTGGCCTGAGACTGACCGATTAACCTTAGTCAGCGCTGCTTAGAGCAATTTAACTTCATAAATCTGCGGCTGAGCCATAGTTTTTGTGGTATGCTGGCTCCTTCAGGAAGAACCCCCAATGTCTAAATAGAACCTGTCCGTGTCTGTCTGCATGTCCCCAGCTGATTGTAGCCAGTGCTGGACTTTACCAGCTGCCCTGCACCGGCCACTGTATAATTGGCTGAGGTGTAGGCTCCATTGAAAATGACATTGAATGTAATTATGGAAATAGCCAGTAGATGGCAGTCACAGACCACTATCTGTTTTTTACTTCTGAAACCCATTTTCTAATATCAGAATCGATTATTCAGGTTAGGGTTATTGGTGGGGTTAGATTTAGGGATAAGAGTCAAGTAGGGTTATTGTCAAGATACGGGTTAATGCTTTAAAAAAAATTAAAAAATTTTAATGGGGGGGTTAGGGATAGTCTAGGGTCAAGGGTAAGCTAAGAACAGGTACTGTACATGGTTAGCGTTGGTGTAAGCATAGGGTTATGTTTGGTAATGTGTGTGTGTGTGTGTGTGTGTATATATAACCTGGCTACCGATTGCCTGATTAGCCCTGTAACATCATATTATTTTTCCCCTTTAGGATATTCTCCCCTGCGCTGTCCTTCTAAGCAGGTGAAATGACCGTCACATACACAGCCCGGGTGTCAAAAGCCCGTTTTGGCGGATTTTATAAGCTGTTGCTGCTATGGAGGGGGAGTATATATAAATTGTTGTACAAAGAATTTTTGGCATTTTTCTTCATGTACGCAGCCCTCAGCATCACTTACAGGTAAGGCGTGAGTTGGACTCAATATTTACTGAACAGATTCGGTTTAATTGGTGAATTTTGAGGGACAGGATTAGGGGGCGGAGTTTCTGCTTGACGGGTTGGGTGCGAAATGTCAGGATCCATGGGGCAATTACATTATAAATGAAATCTCACACATAAATCAAACCTTTTGATCATGGCTTATTTTGAACAGACTCCTACTCACTGGAATTGTTAATATAATGATAATAAAGAGGATGTTTTAAGTCTCAAGGCTGTAAGGTGTACAGCTTAACCCCTTCATGGCAACGGTTTGGGGAAATTTCCTCTATATGAGGACTACCCATCACTGACACTGGGGTTAAGGTGAAATGGTGGTGCCTGTCGCATGTGGCGTTCAAAGCGCACCGCTCTGCAGAAGGGTTGAGAGGGATGATCTGCAGGGCTGCCTTTTGTTTTGATCTGCTTTGCGCTTTTTCAGATTCTTTTTATCAGACGAGCAGAAACGCTGTTTTGAGAAAGTGTCGATCTACTGCAATAACTACGCAAACTTGATTCCAGTGTCCTTCGTCCTGGGTGAGAATCCCTTCTTTTCATTTATTCATTTGAAGTCATAACGGTAATCTGTACTGTAGAATGTAAATGCTCCCCTGTCCTCACCTGTTGTATCCTAGGTTGGTAACACAAATTCTAGGTGATTTTTCAATATATTGTTCAATTGTTTCATTTCTAAGGAAATCACGGTTACTTAAAAAGTGGCAAGTAAACCTCCTGGTCTGACTTTGTTACGTTTGCGTTTTATGGAGCCATCACCTGGTTTTAATCAGATTTCTTGCTAGACCTTGTGCACTCAACCTGTGTTCTTCCAAAACTAACTCTCCTCTGCTCCTGCAGGTTTTTATGTTACGCTGGTAGTGAATCGGTGGTGGAATCAGTATCTCTGTATGCCGTTTCCGGACCGTGTGATGTGCGCGATCTCCGCCACTGTACATGGGACAGACGAAAGGGGACGATTATATAGACGAACGCTAATGCGCTATTGTAGCCTGTCTGGGCTTCTTATCTTGCGTTCTGTCAGTACTGCTGCCTTCAAACGGTTCCCGACTATAGATCATGTTGTGGAAGCTGGTGAGTTTGATCTTCCCTGAAATTGGGAGAGAACAAAATGAGCTGCGGAAATGAACCGTCATTCCCACCATAGGATGACCCAGACAAGATGGAGTTATGATACACTGAAACTTTTTTTTTTTCCCTTCAGGTTTTATGACTCGTAATGAAAGAAAGAAGTTTGAAAATCTTCGCTCGTCCTATAACAAATATTGGGTTCCATGTGTGTGGTTTTGTAACTTGGCTGCGCAAGCACGGAATGAGGGCAGAGTACATGATGACCACGCTTTCAAAATGCTCATTGAGGTGAGATCTGGTTGCAATGTGATGTAGGGTGCCGTGATTGACAATGAATTGGCAGGGGACGCAGTATTTTAGGGTGCTGTGATTGACAATGAATTGGCAGGGGACGCAGCATTGTAGGGTGCCGGGATTGGCAATGAATTGGCAGGGGACGCAGCATTGTAGGGTGCCATGAATGGCAATGAATTGGCAGGGGACGCAGCATTGTCGGGTGCCGGGATTGGCAATGAATTGGCAGGGGACGCAGCATTGTAGGGTGCTGTGATTGGCAATGAATTGCCAGGGGACGAAGCATTGTATCACCTCAGTGGTGTTTGGTGTTAAAGGGATTCTCTAGTGCCAGGAAACCAAAGCAGTTTTCCTGGCACTATAAAATCATACAGTGCCCCCCCCCCCTCCTGCGGCAAAGAAGGGGTTAAAAACCCCTTAGTCACTTACCTGAATCCAGCGCCGATGTAGAGCGTGAGGACATCCAGCGTCAGATACCGGACCAAAGGTCCGTTTCAAGTCAAGAATTCCCTCTGGTTGGCTGTCTGGTAGCCACTAGAGGTGGGTTAAACCCTGGATAGTAATTACTGCAGTTTCTCAATAACTGCAATGTTTACTATTGCAGGGTTAAGGGATATGGAACACAGCTCCCAGACCACCTTAATGAGCTGAAGTGGTCTGGGTGCTTAGTGTCCCTTTAAAGGCTGGTGTGTGGGTTGGTGGAATTTGGTTCAGGGACTTGTGCTAACGTGATAGACCAGAGACATTGGACTGGGGTGTGGTATGCCGGGTTTATACCAAGTTACTTGAAATTTTCCCTCCATGTCCTGTGTAACTATTCCAAAAGCACTGCTTGCTGGGAATTTAATCGATTTACTCCAAGCTCTTTAAAGAGGTTCTCTGGCAGCTTGGCATGAATTGTATTGCCTCTAAACAGCCGAAGCTGCAACCATGATAGTACCTCGAACGCTGTCTGTGCAAATTGTAATTTACGTCAGTTTCTTAATAATCAAAATTTACACGTGTATTTATATATTTTTATTAATTATTATTTTATTCTTCCAATATTGCGCTGCAGAGTGTTATGTACATTTTACATCTCTGAAAAATGCATTTAAGAAGTCTGGAAAGTTGGGCAAAACACTTGATTTTGCAAGATTCTTTTTTCATTGGTATTAACCAACCTGCTCTAGACTGTAAGCTCGTTTCCGTGTCACTGTGTAATTGTCTAATTTATTGGAAATAACCCCCCCAGTCCCCCCTTCATAATATTGTAAAGCGCTGTGGAATTAGTTGGGGCTATATAAATACCAATAATAATATAATGTATTGTGAAAACATGTGATTTGAAAGAGTAGTGTCATAGCTCCCTCTCTCTGCATCGTGAGGTATTGCAGAACCAGATATTGCCCATTAACTGGAAAAAAAACATTGGAACAACTGCTGCCCCAAAGTTCCACCTTTACTGGGGAAGGAATGAAGTAAATGGTGCTCTGTGTTGGATGCAAATACATTGTTATACAGATCTGTAAATCTAATGGGTTCGGGAAGAACCATCGATGAAATATTTTGGAAGGGGGCTCTGAAGGCCAATATCCAAGTAATGGTGTCAATCTCTGGTCATCCCTCCTGCTCCTGCTTATAAAAAGTCCTTAGATTGTTGAAGGCAATTTTACCAATATATTCCTCTTTCTCAGGAACTGAACATATTTCGGGGTAACTGTGGCATGCTCTTTCATTATGACTGGATCAGTGTCCCGCTAGTCTACACTCAGGTAAAACCTCAGTTAAAGCAGGTTCAAAGTGGACAGAGAGACTCTTTGAATGTTCCCTTTAGTAAATAATATCCTGGATCTCACTATTTCACTGCATTGGTTTCTGCCTCCTTAGATTCCCAATGTTCTCCATATTATTTAAATTATACAGTAATACTTCTGAAGATCATTTTCCACAGTTTAAGTTATTTATTTTGTGTGTATGTGGATTAATTGTGCTCCGGCTAGTAGGAGAAGCCATTTTCCTGTGCACAGCTCTCCTTCTGCGATGTCTCCGGGAGCTGGGGAGCACAAATAATAATTTCATGGAAACAATTACGTTTTTTCCCAAGCCTTTTTTAACTTCCCTTTCCTCTCCTTCCTGTACGATCAGGTGGTGACGATTGCAGTTTACAGCTTTTTCCTGACCTGTCTGATTGGGCGCCAGTTTCTAGAACCTAAACAGGGCTACGCCGGCCACGATCTGGATCTGTATGTCCCAGTTTTCACGTTGTTGCAGTTCTTCTTTTATGCCGGATGGCTGAAGGTAAACGAATACCGCAGGATTTTCTAAAGTTCTTACTTTTTTTTCACATTGATTAACACGCACACGACATACAATCCATCTAAAATGTACTAATTCCATAACGCTGCATTCCCTTCTGTAAGGATTCTTAAAGGGACACTATAGTCACAACAATAACTTCATCTCAATGAAGCGTCCCTGTCCTTTTTAATCTGGCAATGGAAGACATTGCTGGGTTGTTGTTTTTTGCTTTGGGGGGTGGGGGGATTGTTGTGTTTGTTTAAAAAAAGAAAGTTAACATTTCAGGGTTAAATGCACCTGTAGGTGTTTTCATACTGACAGCCACTGCACGAGGTGCAGAACCCCCAAATGAATTGCTTTCCTAAGGGGAAGCTTGAATGTGCGTGTGGCGCTGGCGCATGCCTTCCCAGTGACGTGCATTGGATTGGACAACAACGGAGACCATGCACGAGGCATAGAGTTGAGCAGTGGCGTGGGAGCCTCCGCTCTGGAAAAGGGCAAGTATAAAGCTGAATTTAATTTTATTTATTAATTATGGAAAACAGGGGGCAATAGAGACAGGAATACAAACCTGTGTTCCTAACGCTATATTGTTCTTTTAACACATATGGAGTAATCTACTATGCCACATTAATGTTCTGCTAACCCTCGTCAAAGATGTGAATAAAACCCAGGAGGTGCTCCGAAAAAGTGTCTTGGTTTTCCAATGCTAAAAGCATAAAATACTTGCCAGTAGCAGACTGAACAAGGAGTGTTACTCTGCCAGGAAACATCGTGCTGTAGAGCGAGCGAGCGTGCGTGCGTGCATATATATATATAGTGTTGAATCCGATTTATCGTATCCAAATAGAGGGTAAGCCCTCACAATGAAAGGAAGAACTCCTTGAGACTAGTAACTCATACTTTCTCATAATGAAATGCTGACTGTGTTCTTGCAGGTTGCTGAGCAGCTCATTAACCCATTTGGAGAGGACGATGATGACTTTGAAACAAACTTATTGATTGACCGAAATTTCCAGGTACGGCCCAGGCTCTGACTGATTTAATTGCGTATTATTTCTAAAAGCCTACATATTCTGCTGTGCTGTCCAGTAGGTAGACAGGACTCCTGAGTAATTGCAACAAGTTTAACATACAGAGAGAGGAGATATTGACACTGCTCACGTAGCCTTACAGTTGGAACCTTTCGAGATTGTTGGTTAATTCTGTGTTCTAGACGGACATTTTATTTATTGCAAGGCAGAGTACATGAAACTCGGTAGAGGGCAGTTGTCATGGTAGAAAGGGTGTACTGGAGATGTGACACTGAGCACAAGTTACAGAAGATACGGACTAGATTGTTATCAGCTGTTATTTAAATACAGGAACGTGTCCATTGCGTAAAACAAAACTAGACATCTGGGTTAGTAGGTGTTCAGTGAACCTACAGATTTGTCCATTTATTCCTAGGTGTCTATGATGGCTGTAGATGAGATGTATTCTGACCTTCCTCTGCTGGAAAAGGACCGTTACTGGAATGACTCCAATCCAAGACCTCCGTACACTGCTGCCACATTATTCCAAAAACATCTCCCATCCTTCCAAGGTTCTACATTTGACATGGCGTGAGTACACCTCTTTTTGTGTTTCTCTATAGATTTGTGTAGGCCACAAAAACTCACTCGTCTTCTTCTCCTAGGTTGGCTAAGGAAGACATGCAGTTCCAACCTCTCACCGACATCGAAGAGATGAATGAAGACACTCTACCTTATCCTATGCACCCCTGCAGCCGTCTCTTTTTAGGCGTTGGGCAATCTCCACTTACCTCCGCTGCAGGCCGAAGTGCACCTTTTGTTGTTCCTGGAAGCCGCTTCACTCTACTAAGGCGTTCAGTAAGCTCTGCCTCTGAATCATCAGACTTTGTTATCCAAGAAACCAACGCAGATTTCTCGTCCAACCCCATGGTTGCCATGTCAAAGCTAGCCCAGCGTTCCGCCAAGCCAGTGTTTCATGTTGAGTCCCAATCCTCCCTCCCAGCCGCCGATCAATCTATGTCATGCGACATGGACAAAGAATGTGACTCTATGGAGGAGGAGGAGGTCAAAGATCTATGTGCGGAAGCTTAGACTGGAACTGTATGAGCAAAAGACTGTATGTAGCTCGACAACTGTATGTAGCTCGACATTTTGACCTTGCCATCATTACGGTTTCTTTGCTGTAGGACCAGATCGTGCTACAGACTGATCCAACTCCATTGACATCTCTTTCCCCTACTTACTGGGTGACACACTCTCTTTTTTACAAGGCTCACCACTGTGGATATCCATCTCTTTGCCGAGCCCTTTTCACAGCTAATCAACACTAAGGTCCATGGATTCCGGGATAGGAGTTGGTGTTTTTATGGACTTACCATTATTTGTATTATTTTATTTGTTCTTTTCATCTTCGCTGTTTTTTTTTTTGTTTTTTTTTATAAGAAGGTAAAAATTAAATAATAATTCTAATTCTAATTGTAGGCTCTGCAAGTGATTTGGATTTTACACCCAGACATGTTCTCTAGTCTAGGTGAATGTTTGTTTTTTTTAAAGGGGCACTAAGCAATACTATTGCAAGTTGTCCTACTGGTCCTTTTCTCTCAGCACAGCCTACCCACCCAAAATAAATGAAATTTATTTACTAAAATAGGGTCTTTCAATTCGCAGAGACTGGCCAAGTCCTCGCCCTCATTGAATAGATGATATAATGAAATTCTAAATGTCAATTTTGTCTAAGCGTATGTAAAAAGTGGAATATTGTACAGATATGACAGCCCACATAACTACACGCAGATGTAGTGAATTTGTGCTTGGTGTCCCTTTAAAGGTGAGTAAATATTCTGTATTGGGTAGTGATGGACCTGATAATCATATGTTGGTGGAATTTTAAAAATGCAGATGTCTCTGGTTATTTACTAGACTCTGGCCGTGCCTCCAAAAGACAAAATATTCTACCTCCCCTGTCAAATTTCCCTACGTGGTGGTTGTGGCGTCCCACCAGCTAATGCCCTAGAGGGGGCAGGGACCATCTCCTTTGCTTTATATGCCGAAAGTGAGTGAAGGACACTCCAGGCACCAGTACATATATGCTATATTTATTCTACATGATAAAATATTTAACATTTTTGCACAAAAATAATGTTTTGCAGAATGTTGCATCAAAAGTCTCGCCCTTTGCCCCTACTCGTTAATCCTGTCTGCCAAGTTTCATGGAAGATCCATTTCTGAATGAGGGAATCAAGATGAATTGGCTCAATCATAGTTGGGCTTTATCTTGTCTATAAGTGTGGCCCGAGACAGGCTAATATATAGTTTTAAAGTGGAGGGTTAAAAGACTCCTGGCCGCTAGGAAGGTATATGTTGCCAGTCGTCTAAAGTTGACCGGTACTAAAGGAGGGATTAGTAATAATAAGCAAGTCACTGGATTGTTGGAAGATTCCATAATCTGAAAGTGGTCAGCAGTAATGCACCGTATGCTAGAGAGGCACTCTCACATATATGCAACATTATCCCTTCTTGAGTGCTACAGCGCCAACAATGTGAGGGCACTTATAAAATGTAGAGTGAAATAAATAATACCAATCGTAGAGTGTGTTTCTTTAAATACTTTTCCCAGGTGAACGTGTACGGAAAGGGGAGGGGGAACAAACTATAGAAATATAGTGCAATACTATTCTATAAAATTGGCCAACACTAAAAATGGTCCTGCTCCAAAACCCAATAATATTGCACCCATTCACAGGTGGTATCACTTCTTTCATTAATCAGATCAGACTATTTGGTTTCTCTTAACCCAACAATCAAAATAAATAAATGGCACTATCTAGTGTGGGTTATTCCCAAAAACATTTTAACAAACCGGCTGAGTTGTGGAACAGTATACACAACCTAATTAGGAGGTCTTGTCCTTAAAGAAATACCCAACGCTTTTATTTTTAAAGCAATATAAAAACGCTTGCAATAAATGTGAGTGGATTGTGGGGGATAAAAAAAATTGCTATAAATGTGACTCCAAGCACCATAACCACTTAAATGATTTGAAATGGTTGTGATGCTTTGGAAGTGGTAGGATTATTAAAGGGGGAGGGAGAGAAAGAGAGCCCTATAAACTGCCACCGAATAATAAGGCTCTTCCTAAAGAGGTACACTCCTGCTGGTTTTGGTGCTTTTCTGCCCTTTTATACCGCAAGAACATTTCTGCTGCTTTCTGGAATCAACTGGTAAACGGTCATTGAAAAATAAGTCCCTTCTCTCCAATCTGCCATTGAGTTCAGTATAATATATTGAACATGCTTCTCTCTCTAGGTTTGAGAACTCTTACAAATTCCCACTGAATCATAAGGCTCTTCTCAAAGGGATATATTCCTGTCCATTTTTGTGTCTTTTGTTCTGTCCTTTGGAATTAACTGAATATTAGTAGAACATACTCAACCACCTACACAATGCATCCCTACACACACACACACACACACACACACACATACACATGCACAGAAACACAATGCATCCCTACACACAAACACCCAGAAACACACACTGCTTCCCTAGTCACACACTGAAACACACACTGCTTCTCTTACACACACTTAATGCACCCCTTAGACATACACTGCATTAAATTACATATACAGAAACACACCTTGCATTCCTTACACATACAAGCACAGATTCACACACTACATCCCTTACACAAATGCTTCCAGTTCAGTTAGTGAATAACCCTGCTAGTTAGCCGTGCTTCCAGTTCAGTTAGTGAATAACCCTGCTAGTTAGCCGTGCTTCGTTCAGTTAGTGAATAACCCTGCTAGTTAGCCATGCTTCCAGTTCAGTTAGTGAATAACCCTGCTAGTTAGCCGTGCTTCCAGTTCAGTTAGTGAATAACCCTGCTAGTTAGCCGTGCTTCCAGTTCAGTTAGTGAATAACCCTGCTAGTTAGCGGTGCTTCCAGTTCAGTTAGTGAATAACCCTGCTAGTTAGCCGTGCTTCCAGTTCAGTTAGTGAATAACCCTGCTAGTTAGCCGTGCTTCCAGTTCAGTTAGTGAATAACCCTGCTAGTTAGCCGTGCTTCCAGTTCAGTTAGCCGTGCTTCCAGTTCAGTTAGTGAATAACCCTGCTAGTTAGCCATGCTTCCAGTTCAGTTAGTGAATAACCCTGCTAGTTAGCCATGCTTCCAGTTCAGTTAGTGAATAACCCTGCTAGTTAGCCGTGCTTCCAGTTCAGTTAGTGAATAACCCTGCTAGTTAGCCGTGCTTCCAGTTCAGTTAGTGAATAACCCTGCTAGTTAGCCGTGCTTCCAGTTCAGTTTGTGAATAACCCTGCTAGTTAGCTGTGCTTCCAGTTCAGTTAGTGAATAACCCTGCTAGTTAGCTGTGCTTCCAGTTCAGTTAGTGAATAACCCTGTAGGACTTGGAATGACACCTATCGTGGTTCCCGGCAGCATCACTGCTTTGCCAAAGAAATTTGCTGACATTATAATAAGGCATTTACCTGTTCAGATATAGCTGATCTGAAAGAATAGATGATTTAACAATTTTTTTTCCCAGGTTGGCTATTTTGACCTTAAATTTGAAATTCTCTCACACAGCTTGTAGGTGAGGGTTGGTACTCTGCTCACAAAATGATTAGCAAATAGAGACCCCAACAAGTTAAAAATGGTACTCTACGAGGGGGGGGCAGGGCAGGGCCGCCGAGCGGCTGCAATCCACGCCGGCTCCGGCAGAGAAAAGCCTAAAACAGCATGAAACGTATAAAATACTCATGATACCTGCCGAAAACCGTAACCAGAGAGGAGATCAGGCGGAGAGGAATCGGGGAGTGCAACGCTAGAGCACATATTGAACCCCCGGCTCACAAAGCGACCCTTGAGGCCTGAACCACGCTACAAGAGCGGGACCAACGGCGCGCAAGTAAGGCGCGGGGGTCCTAGTCCGGCCCCGCTCCCACCCCCTCACCCGCCCGGAGGTGGTGATCCCGGCCCAAAGTCGGAACTTCGGAGGCTGGAGGAGGAGGCAAGCCCGGTGCATGACGCTCCTGTACACGGAGCTACAATGGCCGACGGCTACACAGTACCCACACAGCATCACGGGGCGACACACATATGCAGCAGAAACCCCGCGCTGAGACACTGGGATCCCTGGGACGGCGGAACTCATGACTAGACTCCCCCGGGCGGCTGACGGGTCGATGGAGAGCCGGTCCTGAACCCCGGATTTGGTGGTGGTCCGGGAGAAAACACCCCCCAACTCTGTGAGCCCGGTGGAGCTGAAAAGCGCGGGCCCGCCGGCGGACCGGTGGCCGGAGGGCATGCCCGGCAACATGTAAGTGGCCGGAGGAGGATGTGGCAAGACAGGGCCGGGGCCCCAGGGAGGCCCTGCTGAAGCTGGGGAGGTGCAGGAGGCGGGAGACCGGCGGACTCTAAGGTGGGGAGGCCGCGAGACAGCTCCGGTCTCCGAGTGCCCACAGCAGGGTGTTGCCCCCTAAAGACACGGAAACACACCTTGGGGTGGGAAAGGGAGGGGACTGTCACACGCGGGGGAACCGGAGAGACTCAGGGGGGTACAGTTGACCCACCATGTGCAGAATCATTCAGAGGTAGCCATGAGGAGGTCATACCAGAGGGAAGCCTGAAGAAAAGCTACGAAGAAGGCTGCCAATTTCCCATCAGACGGCTTCATTACACCCCCTCCAGTGAAGTGACTTATATGTTAAACGTTCAAATCTGTTATCCCTGGGCTAACCACGCTAATGTTCCCTTTCGCATATGCCCTTGTACATAAGATATACTCTTTAATATTTGTACATCTATTTCACAGCATGCTTGTTGTGCAGTTGATAGGACAATGTCACAATGCTAATAGCTACTTAACACTGCGGTACTTATTACCGCTTATTTAATGGCAAGAAACATGACAATTTATTAGCTACACATAAGGCCATCAGCTACGTGCATCTTACTGTTCAATTGTTGAATGCCATGTTTTATGCACAGATGTACCGTGCATTTGGAGCTCTAACCGGCTAGGACAAACATATACGGCCCATGCAGAAAATAAAATGTTTCTTATTGCGCCCGTGAGGTTAGATAGTGAATACATAGAGGACACACGAAATGGGCATCGCTGATAGCGTGAATGGCGGCAGAAATAAACTGCTACATGAGGATACGCGAGACCTTGATTACTGAAGCTTTTTTTTTTTTATGTTTATACATTAATTTCATGGCACGCCTACTCTGTAATTAACCAGAAGCAGCTATAACATCCATGGATAAGTTTTATCTTTGCTCCAAGATACCAGATTAATATAATACTTCTGCCAAATACGTTAACCCTACCATACGCTTAAACAACGGTTTGAGCTTCTGTACAGCATTTAGTTATATAGTTATTTTTTAAAGTACTCCGTTACACTCATTACTAATCTAGCAACCGTACATGCCTGATAGCG